AAACGAGTTTTTTGACGGGTAACGCTGCAGGATTATTTTGCACGACACTTGGTAATCGTCAGATCAACGGAAAAATCCAGTGATTACTTCATAGCGGTATTTCTCAAAATGCCAGCTAAGATAAAGGGGAGACGCTCAGCTGCACAAGATTCAGCAGTAAAAGTGGCTGAGAGAAGGCTTTTGAATAAATATTTTATTTTTACACACATGACACTTAGACCCTATTTGCTTTTTACCTGCTAGTCTTGACTATTTTCGGGGTCTTTTTGTGATTTGTATTTTTGGAAACATTTTGAACTTTTTCTTCTCGCTTGATCAGTGCTTTTGAAATTGTTTTTCTCCAAACATCGCAAAATGCAAAGCCGCTAACATGCGTTTTTATTTTTATTATTTTAATCATGCTGTCAACCCTTGCTTGGATTTCTCTCGTTTGGCCATTCACATCACAATTTTTCGCGTGTCTCTCAAGCTCCATGATATCATATCTTGGAGAATAAATTTTATTTTGTCAACATTAGATTTACCTTTTGCAAACGGCGACCAACAATCATTTCCGGTTTCGTAACGTGTCGCAGATACGCTCGCTGATATATATCGCAAAAATTAAGAGCTAGGCTAAAAGTATCCTTTTCAGCGTTTTTTTAAATTTATTTATCGATTTTTCTTTCATTTGTCAATTAATTTAGGCGATTCGATTAACTCTTTCACCCATTTATTAGGTATACAGAAATCAGTTATCCGACTGAACAAATAGGGCCGGTTTTCCCCAACCGCCACGCATAGGCCTTACTCTCAAAATTTTCCTTCTTTCCTCTGGAAAGGGACTTTTAACACGAACTTTTCTCTTCCCCATAGTGTACTAGCTAGACTTCTTCGCTGCTAAGCATATGTAAGACTTATGACCTATTACCGCACACGTAATCGGCTTATAACTCATTAACTGTGCTCCGACCCCCTCATGGCAACGGCCCTTAGTAACAGAGGCGTGGCTTAGTTGTCAGCCTGACTGGGGCGCGTGCCGGTTGAAAAACTCATCAAAAGACACATTTTGCGATGCAAATTCATAAAAATTATTACATCCAACGTTAGATACTTTTTTGATTAATATAAACACACAAAAAACTCAAAAACATGATTTTAAGCGTATTTAACCCTATCACCGGCCTTAAAAAGAAAATTTGTTTGGTAGCTATAGCTCAAATGTGTCATATGTCAATGGTGACAAAGAGGACAGACAGAGTGATCATTATCCAAACTTTTTTGTCAATTACATCTTTTGTTCATTTCACATATAACTGGACCTTCACCTTCAAAGATAGTAAACTTCAATTTCACACACAAAAAAGTAATTTCATGAGTAAGACCTCAAATTCAAGAGGCAATTACCTGTACAGAGTGCCTTAAAGTTTTCACATGTCTTAGGTACAATGTCTGAAAATAGCTCACAAATGATTCTCCCATCTGGAAAAGAAAGACAGTAGTGTTACTTAAATATGGTTTTTAAAGGCTGAAGCAATGGTTGAAAATAAGTATTTCTAAGGAATCTAATTCAACAAAAAAGAAAGTAAGGCATCAAAAATAACAATTGCTGCTGCTGGCTTTAAATTGCAAATAAGTAATTTCAATAAGTGAACTAATGACTCAATTACAATGCTGGCTTTTAATAATTTGTGTGATTTCAACTGACTTTCATCCAGGTCTCTCCCTGATTACAGATGACAATAAATGCCAAATAATGTAGACAATTTAGAAAATCTGTAGAAGTCCAGAGGTTCCTTTGTGAATATGAATTTACAAATATTCATTTTTTATGAATTAGCAGTATCATTTAAAAATAAACTAAAAACATTAAAATGCATCAAACTTATGAATGATTTCTTTTTAAAATTCAACACACTATTGCTTTATCTCTTCTAATTTTACAGATATGAGGCTTGCTGCAGAACTGTTTGATAATATTCATGGTCTTTACGTTAGATCCTTGACAGAATAAAAACAGTGTTTAATCTCACCAAGAGTGCAAAAAAAAAAAGTTTGTTTATCAAGTCAGGTGTCTTACTCTGCCAAATTTATATGGTATGGGCTCACCTACTCGAAATAATTTCTCAAGATATATGATATCACATATCACAATGAAAAACCACATAACAATAATATTGTTAAGGAAAATTGCTATTTTAATATATATAATGGCATTGCAAGTAGTCTCTTCATCCTGTATACAGTAATTATTACACCTGCACAGTCTTCATCTAGATTTCAAAGCATGAAACCTGGGATGGCTTCTTAAAAGCCAAAGTTAGACAAATTGCCATCATGATAGGAAATGCGTTACACTCATCTTTCCAAACTGCCTTTTTTCTTTTGAATGTGCTGAATATTAAAATAAATCAATGAAGCAGTCAGCAAAGCTGTATAGACAAAAAGCAGAAAATAACAGTCCACAAATAGGCCACAGTCAATTCTGCTGAAATAATACATTATGCTTGACATCAAATTGAAATTATGCTCAACAGGTAATACCAGTCAGCAAAATATGTAACAAGTATAAGGCTTCAGGCCCATGAGAGTTCAAGTTCACACTTTCAAAATGCCAAAATGAGAATTTCACGAAAAATTGCATAAATTCAATAAAATACAATAATCCAACTAGTGGATCAGAGAGGCAATACCGCCTCCGGGTATTGTACCACCAGCTGGAGTAAGCGATTCGTATGGAAAACCAAACAAGGCAGCAAAGCTGTCAAATGTACAGACAAAAAGCAGGAAATAACAATGCACAAAATAGGTTACTGTCAAATCTGGTGCAAAAGTACATTATGCTTAACTGCGAATTCAACATCAAATTTTAATTATGCTTAACAGGTAATACCAATGTAAGTAAAATGTGTAGCAAGCATAAGGCTTCAGGCACATGGAACTTCAAAGTCACATCTTGAAAATGCCAAAATGTAAACAAAGTTCTGCAATGGGTTTATTTCCATTTTTAACACATTTTTAACATAAAACAAAATAAACGTTTTACTGCCATTTTTATTAGATCAACTAATAAAATTGATGAGATGGGAAAATATCAATAGAACAGTGTTAAATGTCCAATTTCCTCCATTCTGAGATTCANGGTAATACCAATGTAAGTAAAATGTGTAGCAAGCATAAGGCTTCAGGCACATGGAACTTCAAAGTCACATCTTGAAAATGCCAAAATGTAAACAAAGTTCTGCAATGGGTTTATTTCCATTTTTAACACATTTTTAACATAAAACAAAATAAACGTTTTACTGCCATTTTTATTAGATCAACTAATAAAATTGATGAGATGGGAAAATATCAATAGAACAGTGTTAAATGTCCAATTTCCTCCATCCTGAGATTCAGGGGCCGGTTTCACAAAGCAGTAGTGAACTACTGAACTACCTCGCTAACGAGCAAACTTAGCGATTTTCGAGGGGTGTTTTACAAAGCAGTCGTTAACTCATCGCTAAGTTCAGTCGTTAAGTTCGGTCTCGTTAAGTTCTGGCGGTACGGATAGCAAGAAAAGTAGCCGCCATATTGGATACAAAGACAAACGACAGACAACGGTAACTAAGCAACCTTTTTCTTTCACTCATTACGCATGCGTACGATGAAACTCTAGAGTTAGCGACTGGTCTGACCAGTCGTTAAATATCCAAGGCAACAACGAGACAATAACGAGTGAGAGAACTAGCGACTGATTCGTGAAACGGCACTTTAACTAGCGAGAGGCTAACTACCGATCGCTAACTAACTACTGCTTTGTGAAACCGGCCCCTGAACATAGTGGATGATTGAATCTGACAATCTGCAATGATATGTGTTTATTTCCATTTTGGACACTTTATTACACAATACAAGATAACAAGTTTACCAACTTTTTAACAAAATCAACTAACAATGTTATAAAGATACAGGAAATGTCAAACAAACACTTTTATGTATCTTATTAGTTAAATAATGAGACTGTTAACATGCCTAAGAATTGAATCTGAAGAAAAACCACTTATATACAAAAAGGCTAATAACTTCATCAAAACTTAACTGATCAAGCTTATTTTCAAACTTGATCTGTATATTAGTCAGACTGATCACTCCTGTAAGTTTCAAGGAAAAGGCTGATTGGTTTTCCTTAAAATGCGTTATCAGTGTTGCATATATGCTGAATAATGGAAAAAAACAGCATAACTTTAAATTTGTAAAAAAAGTCCAATCAAGCCAATTTTCGAACTTGACCTGCGTATTATGAATATTCATCAGTTCTGTAANCCCCCCCACCATGTACATGCATAATTAATTACAATTTTTGTGTTAGTTCAGATTCGATGTGCAGCTTTGTTTTGTAAAAAAAAAAGTGTTGTTCTTAGTTTTTTATTTATTATTGCTATGTTGTAAACTATGTATATTTTAACTACTTAAATTAGCAGCATTTTTCCTTTTATGCAGTGACAAAATAAAGACATTGAAAATGCTATTTGTCTCAACTTTTATTTGATGTTAAATCAAGATATAATCGATGCTAAATCAACATATAATCAACGTTAATTGATATTTCTAATGTTGAAACAACGTTGAATTGCCAACGTTGATTCAACGTTGACTTTTCAACGTTGACACAAACTTCCGTTTTCAAACATAAATTCAACGTTGATTCAACGTTGAGAATCAACGTTGAGTCAACGTTGAATCAACGTTGTGTGCCTGCTGGGAATGTGTGACCTACTTTCTCAAGAGAGCAGCAGAGAGCACTGAAGCCAGGGCTTCTCCCCGGTATTTGAAATGCATTGTCATCGAACTTGACTTTCTCTTTATAATCAAAAAATGACAAATTATATGCTTGCCAAAAAATTCCCATCGGTACGTTAGATGCTGAATAATTGTACCGTGTGGATTTTTTTTAGAAAAATTTATAATCGTACCGTCGGAAAAGGCGCGTTCCCGGTGGAAAAAATCTCGAAAAAAAAAATTTGTGCCGCCTCGAGCTGACTTTCCTGCCTTGCGCTGAGGTTATCTCGTGCAGACGAGAAAAGAAGCAAAGTGCCTGATACGGAGTTTGAAGTTTGAACTAAGAATATCTTGCAGTCGCAGTTTGCCACTCGCACTTGCTAGCATGCCAATGCGAGTAAAAATTAAATCTGACGTGTGAAATTTATAATGCAAGATGCCATTTTAGCGAGTACATTTATGTCAACTTCCTATATTAAGTGTTAAGGATCCATCGATGAAACATGGTCAATATTCTGTCAAAAAATCTATGAGCTGGAAGAAAAACATGTACCACTCGTGAGGATTGGTGGAGCAAAAAAAAAAAAAAAAATAGACAAGGATACCCTACTTAAAATTAAAGAGAAGAATGTGTTATCTAGGAAATCCATTTCCACTAACAGCGTTTGACACTCGCACTCGCCAGCTCGCCAATGCGAGTTAAAATTAAATCTGGCGAGTGAAAATTATGGTGCAAGTCGCCATTTTGGCGATTTATGACAACTTACTGNGTGAGTTTATTTGCAGTGTAGCCTCATTTATCGAAATAAACTGCTAACCTAAACAACCTACCCAAAACGAGACAAAGCGGGGGAGTGGCGAGGAGCATAGGGGAAATTTTTGAGCAGTTCTCACTGTTCTGTCATTTGTCAAACAGCGTGGATATTTTGAGTTCAAAACGATAAAGTAAGTTCCAATAATGACTATACACTTGCTTTAAAAAGATGAAATAAATATGCACTAGCAAATACAAATGCATGTACGTCGTAAGGATGCTAGAAAATTGGAGACTTTTATGTATCAATGTGTGACCTACTTTCTCAAGAGAGCAGCAGAGAGCACTGAAGCCAGGGCTTCTCCCCGGTATTTAAAATGCATTATCATCGAACTTGACTTTCTCTTTATAATCAAAAAATGACAAATTATATGCTTGCCAAAAAATTCCCATCGGTACGTTAGATGCTGAATAATTGTACCGTGTGGATTTTTTTTAGAAAAATTTATAATCGTACCGTCGGAAAAGGCGCGTTTCATGTGGAAAAAATCTCGAAAAAAAAAAATTTGTGCCGCCTCGAGCTGACAAATACTGCCTTGCGCTGAGGTTATCTCGTGCAGACGAAATAAGGAGCAAAGTGCCTGATACGGAGTTTGAAGTTTGAACTAAGAATATCTTGCAGTCGCAGTTTGACACTCGCACTTGCTAGCATGCCAATGCGAGTAAAAATTAAATCTGACGTGTGAAATTTATAATGCAAGATGCCATTTTAGCGAGTACATTTATGTCAACTTCCTATATTAAGTGTTAAGGATCCATCGATGAAACATGGTCAATATTCTGTCAAAAAATCTATGAGCTGGAAGAAAAACATGTGCCACTCGTGAGGATTGGTGGAGCAAAAAAAAAAAAAAAAATAGACAAGGATACCCTACTTAAAATTAAAGAGAAGAATGTGTTATCTAGGAAATCCATTGCCACTAAAGACC